CTTCCTGGCAATTTACACAATTGGCTTGTGGTTCGGATACACAGTAGTCTTTCTTCCGAAAGTATAATCGCTGATACACTCCATGGCATAGACTATCGAGAGCGTAGCTTGCTCAAACTGTGCATAGCGCTGCTCGGTCGGTGAGTGCTCGACTGCAAAAGTCCAAGGTTTTCCATTCGGTAAGAGAACAGCACCTATCGTCTATTGGTTACTGTCACACTACACCTCAAAATGTTGTTCTGAATCGTAATACCCGTCTAAAGGCACTTTGCTGCTGAGTTGATTAATAGTTTCGAATGCGGTTTCTTGTTCTTTACTCAACTCCAGTTTACACCTTTGTGAGCCAGCTTCCTGAACAACGTCATGATAGTAGCGAGTCTTGGCCTAAATTAACTCACATAATTCACCAAACCTTTTAAGTGATGGATTCCCTTCACTTCGTTGGAAGATGCATCCCACGAATTGCCTTAATTTTCCCTGGATCGACCCGGATCCCTTGTATGGTTAACACATGCCCATAGAAAATCACACCTTCTTTTCGAAGTTCAATATTCTCGCGTTTAAGTTCCATGTTCTTTCGCACACCGCGCTGCAGGAAACGGTAGAGATTAGCGTCACGCTCTTCTTCGGCCGAGCCACAGAACAAAACATCGCCTGCCACGCATCGTACATCAGCTAAATCGTTTACTGCTTGCACCAATCTTTTTGAAAATGTCACTTGACACCTTTAAACCAAACGGTAAAAGCAACCAATGATAATGCCCGAACGGTTGGACGAATACAGTAAGGGAAGTTGATTCATCATCTAGAACCACGTGCCAGCATGCCGAAGAATGGTCTACCTTCGTAAAACACTTAGCTTCGGCATGACGAGGCAAAGTGTTTTCTAAGGTAGGTAACGCAAAATGTTCTCTAAGCAAGGCATCATTCAGCGTTTTCGAGTAAATACACAGCGAAGTTCATGCGTCTTCTTCGTAATGATTGCGACTTGACTAACCCAGTCTGCTAGCTCGTCGATTTTGACAATCACACCCTCTCACTAATTTGCTCAATTCAACGGAGAACCTGTCACGCAGTGCAAATGGTACTCTCCTAGCCGGTAGCTCTGTCGGTAGTATCAAAGTAACTAAGGAAAAGTAAGCGATTCCCTCATACCTTCCCAAACCCGCGCTAAACACAGACGGATATTGAACACTAATATGGCTTTCTACCTGCCAAGAACGCACGAAACGATTATGATTAACAAAATAAAATCGAGAGACTGGATCGAATCAATGTAGCGAATCGACGTGTGCTCCTCATACACTATCAGAAACACTCACAGTCTGTGTGT